TGACAGCCATCTAAATGATATGATAAGGCCCTTAAAAAACATGGATTTTTGTGAAATCTGCTGCTACATTTTTGTTACCTCTGTTCAGGTGTTGGAGTAACTTGTTGTTTTCCTTAGTTGTTGATCTGCACCATTTTTCATTCCCCTGAATTGGTGCAAGTACCAACATTCCCATATGGGAAATGAGGGATTGAATTTTGAAAGCTACCTATAATTTGAATTTTTTAGAACCATTTAGGACATGACAACATGAATCACATTACATGATGCACATATATAACCTAGTAACTGCTCAAGTTTTAGCTGTGCAGAACTCCTAGGAAAGTAGGTTCAGAACTTGGGCAATATTTACTTGACTACAGTCTTCTTGAGTACCATTAACCCTTTCACACACGGTGTCCACTATAGTGGACGGCAAAAAGTTTTGGTGATGACGATGGTTTTTTTAGCCATGGTACTCGTACCTCAAAACTTTTGGTGTATGCAGTCAACTCAAGGGCACATTATCTCTTCAGTGTTGCTTTCTTGTGGTGAAACATGTGACTACTATGGTAGAGTACCTTTTTAAACGTTAGACTAAAAAATTGCATATTTTCCTTTTGCTCGAAAAATTCATATGTGAAAGGAAGGGTCTGAAAGGGATCTTCCAACTTGAAAATTGAAAGTTTCTCAGAGGAGTATAATTATTTGTGAAAAGTAAGTTTCAATTAAGTTAATAAGTAAGAGGCATCTCCTGATCTGAAGAAGATTGACCTGTAGGCTCTCAGAGATGTTGGGATTCTGCATCCTTGATGCAGATCACGATGTATAACACCAGCCATCTTGATATGGAGACCTCATTTTAATAGAGCCACAGTCTACCAGTGTTGCAACAAAGCTGCTGAGACCCTGGAGAGTATCATAGTCTGACTTACTATATGGCCCATTGATCTGAATGGCAGCTGGAACCCAATTCACATCAATCTGAGGCAGACCAAAGCAACCCCTTCAAAAATTTATTTGCATTCAACCATGCAGTCAACCAGCATGGGGCTAATGAGTGGCAGATCCTGGATGCAGCATGACAGGGTCTGACACACCCAGAAATGTCTAATTTCCCTACCCCAGAAGCCAATTCATCAACCTCCCTGGTGGCACTGGCTCAGTTTTGATTATCCTAGATGAGTCCATATGAAGCACTTGAGTCAAACTCATTTTGTTTGTTTTTGTTCTTCATGGTCATCCCCAACCAGAGCCCCTGTATAATAGTAGAATCTAAGATACTTACCCATTAGAATCACTGAGGTCCATCCTCATGACTAGGCCCTGCAAGCCAAAAAAGACAAAGATTTATTTTGAGTTAATGAATAATTTGAACATCATGAAAAGGATGGCTATTCCAATTCATACCAGCCACCAACCACCATGGCTATGATCTCCAGGCATTCTTGTCTGTTTCTCCTCCCTCCTCAATATTATATTCTCAGATCATGTGAATAGATATGAGTAAGAGCTCAAGAGGTCCATTAGTGTTTTGGGATCTGGCCTAGGTATAAGTACTGTCATGCTTTACTTTAGAACTTCTGCTTTGGATGATAATTGTTGGCTGAAGGAAAAGTTGTGGACAGAGACTGAAAGTCTTGGCACAAGATTGTTGAAGTCAATTTTTTGGTGAAATGGATATGGAATTTTCAGAAGTGCCCAGTGTAAGAGGGGAAAGGGGGAAATAGGGATCCCCTCCCATTTAGTTCTCTCCTTCAATCTGTGGGGATACTTAAAATAAGATGATAGTACTGTAAAAAAAATTTAATCTTATGTTTATTTTAGCATTTACTTCATACATGGAAAGAAAGCAGCCCTCTTCAATGGTATCCCAAATATAAAACATTCCTCTCATCACAGATCAACTTATTAAGCTGCTTTGAAATGGTAATGAGGTCATTTAAAAAAAAGGGCCTCATTAAGTGGCTTCGTGATGTCAGCAAAGTGATGGTACTCAACTGCAACCCACATCCACAAAATAAACACAGGGTGATTTGATACCCTAAACCTCCTTGTTTTTGGAGCTAAAATTCCAAGAGGTGTGATGCAGAAAGTGTTCTGGGTTGAGGTTTGCTTTGGCCCTGTATAATGTTTTTGTTCACAATGGTTTTTCAGCCTTCATTGCCAGAAGTCTTTACACCCATGATACTTTAATCACAGCTGCTTGAAGGGCAACATTAGGAATTCTTAAACTGCCATCTGGGTAATCATGAAGTAAAGTTGTTCTCTGATTTCTCTGACAACCCTCTTAGGTCCATATCAACATTTGTATATCTTCAAATAATTCTTTTGGCGAATCCTCTATTACTGAAGCTAAAAAGTTCACTCTTGACAATGTGTATGACTTATCCAAGGTACATCTTCTGTACATAGCAGTGGTTCCTTTTGTTATACCATGACTTTGTTTTCATACTGGTGATGAAAAACATCCTTTTTGGCATGATGGTATCATCTTTCAAGGACTGTTAGTCTCAGGGATCATGCCAGGTCAGGACTGTGCAACCTTTATTGGCAGTGGACTGCATGGAAATGTCTGACTCTCCATGTGGGCCATAGAATGCAAAAGAAAAAAAGATTCCCCTCAGGGCATATGAAGGCATAATGTTGCACTGATTACTGATGACCCTTGTCTCTTCCCCACCCCAGAGAATCAAATGCCCAAAAATAGCCTTGTTATTGAGAACCTCCTTCCTCAAGACCAGTGATTCCCAAACTTTTTTTTCTGCAACCCTAAATTGGCCACCAACAGGACCTCCCAACCCTCAGGCTTATGATAAAATATAAATATGTATATAAATATACATACATATATATGTAATTATATTTGATTATTATTTGTTTGATTATATTGACCCTTTGTGACCTTACTGAGAACCCACTGCAACCCTGATTTTGGTCATGACCCAAGGTTGGGAACCACTGCTCTAGACATTTTCAACAGTGCCTGCATGGGGAATAATTAGGGGTGATCAGAGTTGTTATGGGCCTTGGTCTGCAAAGGAACTTATTTTATCTGTTATCCCATAACCTATTACTGGGCTACAGGTTGCACATCCCTGTGCTAGATGGTGAGGTTGACGTTCTTATAAGGTGATTATCTTTTTTTCTTTACCTATAAAGGCCTGGGTATTTGATACCTCCTTAAAGTGATGACTGAGATTGATAATGGCAGGCAGCATGGCGATACAGATGTTTGGGAGACATACCAACCCCTACTTGCTGAAAGTGCTGGTAAGTTCCATTGATGCTTGTTGCTACCTTTGGAAGCTGTGTATTGCATCCACTGAACATCCAGTGGATTTATTTCAAATAAAATTATAAAAAAAACCTATGTACCAAAAGAGAAGAAACATGCTTTATTTTGTAATGAAAGGACTATGGGCCTCATGCAGTTGGGCCACCAAGGCCTACCTTTATGGGTCTACATTGTGAGTAAGAAGTTTGGTTTCCAGTTGATATGATTTGGTCTACATAAACATGGAAAACTTAACCCAAGAAACTGCAGGACTTTGACATCAGCCACGACAAATTGCTGACATTGACTAGCTAAACTAATTAAATAGCATGATTTTAAAAATTTATTTAATTTCTTTAAATATTTGAAGTAAATATTTAATTTTACTTGAGGAAACCATTTTAAATGCACTTTTATGCTACGTATGCCTTGTTGAAGCTGAAAAGTAAATGAAATTTTTTCCTTGTTTATAACATAATTCAGGATGAAAAGGGTTAAGGATTCAATGTGATGTGATCACTGTGATGACCCAGAGAGACCACTTGTTAGATTTTGCCATTTCTTGTCCTGCTGTTTATGCAAAAAAGTTTATGCAGCCTTATTTGACAAAAGCAAAAGGCCATTCATGCCTTCAGCATTGTCACATAGGGTTTGTATGTTTCTCATTGATTTCATTGCTTGATAATTAAAGGAAATAAAGTTGAGAAATAAACCTTGAAATTTTGCTTGTGGACATATACAAGGAAGGCATGGACTGAGACTGCATTTGGTGACATGTCTAAAGAAAGATTTACTTCCAATTTTTACATTTGCTTACTCTAAGGCCATGATGGGTAATTGCATGAGATGAGGCAATAATGGAAGGCCTCAATCCATTCCTCAAGTCCCACCCTTTCCCATTGCTCAAGTATCAACGTCATCATCTTCAGAGTAAACTTGTTTTGAATTATTCTGGAAAGATGGCCAGTGTTGGATTCTGGTGGTCTAGCTTACCTTCCCTGGGTTTGTGTCAAATCTGCATGCCTCAGGACAGTGTGGTTGTCCTGCAACAGCCAAACTCAAATGAAGCAGTCTTGCTAGTCAACCTATCTCCAGCAGTATCAACTTATTTGTAGTGTTCCCTCTTGATCAGTGGCATATTTTGGCTGAAAGGTTGGGGGGGGGGGGGGGGAAGGCAACAGAGTGGAAACGCCAAATCCCACCTGAGCCATATCAGGGGAGAACGTTATTACTTCCAAGGGGGCGCCAGACTTTGTCCCAGGGGCGTCGGGGGGCAACTGCCCCCCCTGCCCTGCCATAAAATATGCCACTGCTCTTGATCAACTGACTCAGCAGTGATCTAAAGTCATGAGTGAGAAAAAAACTTAACTAGTGAAACCACCATAATGTGCTTACCCTAGGTAACATTTCAATTTATTCATTGATCTTTAACAGTGTGTGACAACAAAATTTTCAGAGACAGTTCTCAGCGGGAGACAGGTGAGGTTATGTTGCAATTAGCCTTACAAATAATGTATCCCTGCTGTGCATGAAGAAACAAGACAGTTGTGTCTTTGTTGACCAAATCATTGTATTCATCATAGGGCAAAACCATTATTGCAAAATGGAGTTTAAGTAGGTTTTCTTTGCAAAGCATGTATGTTGATATGTGTAATCATTTAAAAAATGTATGAAAAATGATATATTCCTGCTTCGATCTGCAGCATTACAGTGGACTTGGCTTCCTATTTCAGATCAGAAGTTTATGGATCCTGCTGCAAATGACATACCTGGATTTCTTGATAGAGTAGAACTAACATTTGAAGGTGAGGAAATCTTTTTATCCCTTATGTGAGGTATAATGCAGAGTTGAAGTTTATTTATTTTTTTCATCCAGTTTGTCACAGTATTGACCCATTTTTTAATATTTTATTTCTCATTGTCCATGCCACTAAAGCAACATGAGATTTTGTGGTTGCATGATTGTTATATGTTCAGATGTCCTGCTAATAAGGCTGTGGGTTGTCTGAGCAGAAATATCTTAGCTTCATAACCATGAATCACAAGCTTTAGTTTGCCACGAGTTGACAACCCCCTTCTCTGTGGGATCCAGTCGTGCCCTGCAGTTTGAGAACTGCTGCATTAATCCATTTTTAATTGTCATCAGTTTTCACTCAAATGTACAGAGTGACTTAAAGATGTACCTTGGTGCTTGTTCCCAAAAGATGAAGGAAGTCATTTTTTTGTTGTTCAACATAAAATTGGATTCTGCATTTGAAAATAATGATAAAATGATATGACTTGTTCTAGTCGTTGGAAGGTTGTGGAAATTTATTTTTACTCCTTTATTTAATAATATTGGAGAGAAAAAAATCAATTCAATAATCAGTATGGTCACCATCTGCTGCTTGAACCACTTAAATATTAATACATTTTGTCAACAAGCAGAGAATACTTTTAAGAATCAGTTTCCTCTTCTAGTTCAGTGAGATTGTTCATAAGTGTCAATTAGGAGTAATGACAGGACATCTTTTCATGGTGCTTTTGCTATTCCATATGCTCTTTGATGATTTTGCCCAAAATTGAATTCCCTAATTTCTGAGGAGATTTTGAGTTGCATTTACTCTCATGCAAGGTGCCTTGTCTTGGATGAAGGTTATCTTGTGGTGCCCAGCCCATTATTATCATTCTCAAGGATTGGAACATGTTTTGTTTGAGACCAGTTTATACATTTAACCCTTTCCATGGTAGTGTCTCCATTTTGAGACACCATTCAAAATTTATTCTAAGCTTGTAGCAACACGTGCAGCAAAGATTTGAGGGAAAACAGGATTCCAATTGAAAGAATGAACTGTCATCCAATCTGAGATGTTGTAAAGAGTCTCAAATTACCAGCAAGTTTTTGCTTGAATTCAATGCTTCTCTGACCACTAACACATTAATTTACCATGGAAAGGGTTAGTAAAAAAAACTCATCCATTCAAAGATTGCCCTTTTCCTTGATTATTCACATCATTCACTTGACTGTGAAGAGGATGAATTACTTCATGCACATTGGATTTTTTACCACCTGGCAGAAGATTTTTTTTTAGGAGATGTCACTTAGCCCATTCACCCAGGTATGGTCATTCTGAGGATTGGATTCAATAATACCATAAATGAAGAATTGGTTGCTAAATGCAAAATGGAGGAAGTTCACTTCATTGTATTGAGAGACACAATTTTAGCCAGGGATAATCAGTTTCATTTTAATCAAATCAGTTTTCAGTGCTTGGAGATTACATGAAATGGCTGCATTTCTTTTTTCTTCAAAAAAATGACAGACTCTCAAGAATGGTTTTTCACTTGAATTGCCAGAATCTCACTTGGCAATTTTCAACAGCTTTTGTACTGCAATCCTGTTCCCTCTGTGACAAATAGGCAATTTTCGTGTGGAATACTTGTTGATTGACCAGCATTAGAAAATTGGCAAGGCATTCTAATAGCTCCTTGTTCCAGGTGTTTGAAACCCATTGAGCTGATGGCTGCAAAGTTCTTGCCATCCAATTATGATTGATAAATTCTACACCAGCATCTCATGATTTTTGAAATACAATCACTTGAAAACAGTCAGCAAAGTGTGCTTCTTCTGAATCGAAGCTTTCTGCAAAAGGTGACTGAAAATCACTGAGAAAACACTAATATAATACAAGCAATAGAGTTTTAAAAGTAGGGATGTGGTTGTCAATTGACTACCTTTTAATTGACCTTTATCAACCACTCTTTTTTTATTCAGTGAATTAAGAAATTTTTAGAGAGCTCATAACTGTGGTCGTAACTGGGGTATCCTCCAGTACTAAAACCAAAGAGCTGGTTCCATTTTAAAGTTACATTCATATGCAGCCCATGAAACATCTGGACTGTAGCACCCATTGGGTATGAAAATATAGCAAATGCTCTAACTATCATGACCTCTCACCTGAGTGGTGTAGAGTGTGTACAGGCATAGCCTGCTGTTCAAGGTCTTCCAGTCCTAATGACTTTGAAAGTTAAGGTTCAAGGTCCAAGTTACAGCTTAAGAAATTTAGTTTGATGCAAGGTCAAGGTCTTGGCATATAGTCTGCATCAGATTATCAAATCATTCTCAAAGTCTGTGACCAAGAGATAAATACTTGGATTATGCCCCAAAGTCTAAAAGAATTGATCTAGATATGAAGAATTTCCTTGAGCAAGGTGAGGCTATTTTTTCTGGCAGGAACAGGAATAAATGCTAATATCAGAAACCATGAAACTCCAGTTCTGGAAACTATTTTTTGTATTCTTCATTATTCAGAGTACTTATTGAGCTACCTAGTCACAAAATTTACCTCTGAAACATGACTGATTATTGCTCAACCTTCCGATCCTGATGCAGGGTATTTTTGGACCCTAGGTGCTGTATTTTTTTTGTATTTTTGTTGTACTGATGCTTCTAGCAGCTTTTCAAAACTGAAAAAAAAAAATTGTGTCAAGTTATCCTTCTAATATCTTGCACATTTTTATCAGTCTAATTCACACATTTGAATATCTACTTAAAAAATTGAAACCCCACCAAGGATCATCAGATCATTGGAGCATTGGGATTGGAAGATTAATGCCCCAACTCATGCAATCTATATGTTAAAGTTTGTCTTAGTAATGAGATGTTGACTGGTCATTACATTGTCATTTATGATCATATACAGTCATAATACCTAAGCTCTTGTTGGGCTGGTTGACCCTTATTGTCTCTTGATGATCAGAAGTGACCATGTTGACCAGTGAACTTCCCATGTCTGTCACTTGTGAGTCATGACATAAACAAAATGAAAGTTGGCCTTATTGACCATGATTCCTTATTGACCAGTCAATTGACATTTTTAATTGATCTGTCAGTAACCCATCCTTAGTTAAAAGCTTCTCAAGAAATATATAAGCATGCACACATTATTGTGTGTATACTGGAAATATAATGTATTTTTCCTGAAATAAAGCTGCATTATTGGATAGTTCTCTGTTCAAATATCCACCCTGTATATTTTTGGGAATTTGCTCTCTGTCCTGGGCAAGTCATTATCTGTTATCCTGTACTTTGCATGCCTTTTTAGAGGGATCTTTTGAGTCAACTGGTATATTCATATCAATACAAGTTGAAAGCAAAGGAGAAAGTATAGCCATGTTTTGAACTTGTCCTTCTTTAATACTTTATAACTATTGATGTATTGATAGTTTGTATAAGAGGGGGTAATCTTATTTCGTTATGCCTGGTATTTCCAGGTACTAGTAAATCAGCACGAGGACTGTTGTATGATGCAGAAGTTGTCCACAAGTGCTGCATTGCAACAGAAAAGGAGTCAAGGAGCATCAGCAGCCAAATGCGAGGCTTCTCTATCATGGAGTTTGCCCAGAAATTAGTAAGTACTAATAGCAACATATTTTGTGGTTTTGAAATCACAATATGTTAGAATTATCATTAAGTTTTCCATTTTTCAGTTCTGAAATTTGAAATTGAATTGTTGTTGCATTCAAAATGCTTCATGATTTATGTACAATTTATACATACATCACACAGGGGTTGTGCTAAGACTCTCGCCCTGGCCTCCTGCCCATGCATCTTGGGGGTTATGGGACCCCTGGGACACACAGGCAGAAGGCCCAAGACTGCTGGATTGAATATCATACTGCTTGGTTATGTTAAATCTGCAAATACACATGGATTGCTGGACTTGTACTTTTGGGGAACCCTTCAAGATTTTCCCTTGTGCTTCACTTGGAAAGTAACCCCCTTAATTATCAAGGGACCCTTCCATATCAGACCCGAGGGTGCCAGGGACCCGTATGGCAAGAAACGTAGTGCAACCCCTATCACATATATGCATTTTCAAAACTGCTTATTCCAACTAAATGGGGTTCAAGCAAACCAAGGAGCATCTTCTAGTATTTGCAATCCTGGGTGATGGACTGCATCTTGGCAGGTGGTGTGCCAAGCCTCTTGTGGCAACGATTTGCAATGTAGTCTGTCCACTTTGCACCTGATCATTTAAGATAGGAAGACTCTCTTTGGAGGCATGTGGGTGATGTCTCAGAACCAGCTGGCTTGGGATTTCTTGACAAAGTAGATGCTCAATCTGGAGGTATTCATGGATGGCAGCACTCCACATCCTCTCACTCAGTGTGACACTGGCCACTCATTGCAAGAATCTCATTTTGGCAACTTGTATCTACAATCTGATTCTTTCAGTCATTACTCAATATTCATCACCATAGGTGAGGGTGGGGAGGTACATGCCTTTAAAACCAAAATTTTTCACCTTTTCAGAAGCTTCAGATCTGGCAACCACCATCTTCCAGAGTTCCTGCAGAACTGGAGATGCAATTGTTGATCTCATTTCCATGTTGCCCACCACTCAAGAACCAGACCCTGAAGTACTTAAACTTTTCCACCTGTTCCAATGGGGCCTCCCCAACATGTAAGGTGCTTTGTACTGGACTTCTTGAGAGGACCATAACCTGCATTTTGGGGATGTTCAATTTAATTCTGGTCCCAATACATCCACCCTTGAGGCCTAGGCTATGCCTACAGATCCTATCCTTATACATGAGGAGCAGAAAAGTAGAGAGTATGCATCCTGGAGGGAGCCCAACACATACCAGAAATGAGTTCAAACTTATCCCATTCACCTGAACTCAGCTACTGCAATCATTGTGTAAGGATTGAATGGCCTGCAGCAGTTGACCAATAACCCCAAAATCCTGCAATACTACCCACAGTCTTCCTTGAAGTATACAGTCATATGCTGTTTTGAGATCCTCAAAACACATGTAAACCTCTTTGGCATATTTTCAATGTACCTTGTGAATCTGGTGAAGAGTGAAGATCTGGTGGTATGCCCTTTACAAAATCTACACTGATCCTTTTTGATGACAAATTCAGCAACTGCAAATGCTCTCTTTTCTAGCACCTTGATATAGACCTTACCGGGTAGGCTGAGGAAAGTAATTCCACAGTCATTGGTGCACTCTCTTGAGTCCCTCTTCTTAAAATGAGGAACCACCATGCTGGTCTTGCATGGTGCTGTCCTCAATTTCCATGCAATTCAACATATCCTATGCAACCACAAGTATCCTTCAATGCTCATTGCTATCAGGGTCTTTGCATGGATTTTGTCCTTATGAGGATAGTTTCCTTTTGGTCTCCATATCAGAAATTTGTTGAAGCACTTGGAAATTTTCAGAAATTGTCCTTGCTGCCGTGTTTCTTCATTGCAGAGGAATTCCAACTTTACCCATTTACACTGTGTTTGGCTTTCCCTCCTATTCTGAGGCTCTCCTGAGCCCAATATTTGCCAACCACTAGATGGTGGTTGGTGCTCAGTCTGGCATCCCTTTACCCTCATATCTGTTGCCAGGTTCCACAAATCAGCTGAAACAATCACGTAGTAAATCAGCAACTGCTGGCACAGTATTAGTCTGACCATCAGAGACCCCCTATGCCAGGTATACCTGTGGATGCCCTTGTGTTGGAAGGTGTTGGTAATGGTCAGTCCATTGCCAGCACCAAGTCAAGCAACTTTCATTCACATTCAGCATGGCTTCTACAAAACATCCAATAACCCAACTCCACATAGGTTCATCATTCCCAACTCATTCATTTAAGTCCCCATTGGCATAAGGTTGAGATCCCTTCCAGAGCCCCATTCATCTCTTCAAGGAATGGATCGTAACTTGTTGTTTGGACCGTAATCCTGAACAGCAGACAAGATTGATCTGACTCACTCGAGTCAGATGCAGATCTGAGAGACTCATTCCCTGATCAGTTCCCCAATCTTGCCTTCTTTCAGCCAGGGACTAATGAGTATCCTCACACCCACCCAGGCAAACATAGTTGGGTCTACTCTCCATAAGAGGGCCATCTAAGATCTAAAGCTGTGGTGTACAACCATTTCCCCATATAGGGCCAAAATGAAGATTTCTGCTCATGTTTGAGGGTTTGAGGGCCCTTGAACATGAGCCAAAATAGGCTGCATATAAATATGGATCTTTGAATGGAGACCAGAGGCATCCAAGGGGCCACAAAAAGGCCTCTGTGGGCTGCGAGTTGTGCATCACTGCTCTAAAGCGATGGAACCTCTTGCTTCTTGGTTGATGAAAGGCAGACTATATCTAGTAAATGTTCACTAACCTTGTCCATGAATTCTGACTCCTTACCCCCAAATTTTAGCAGATTTTAAGTCTCAATATCCAAAGTCCTTTGCCTAGATTATTTACTGCTTTTTTCTGCTCATGGTCTGTCCATGAGGCATTGTGCTGAAAAGACATTATGGCCTGTGGCAGGCCGACTGATAGGTCTGGATGTAGCACAACTAGGTCTGATGCAACCAGAAACATTGGATTGCCCAATCATGGTAACCAACTTATGGATACTTACTCTGGAATCACAATGACAATTGTGGTCCAGATTATCTTGAGCAATGACTGATCCTGTATGAAACTCCTGAGCTGAATGCATCTTGCAAGTTTTGGTTCATCTGGGTCACCCTCAACCCTGCCCCTGTATCACTGAAGGACCTGGAATACTTCAGCCTTTTGATTCACTGGGGTCCATTCTCATGATGTGAACATGCAAACCATCAAGGACTGTAAAATTCAGAGTATGCTTGTCTAAATGAGGCAAAACAATTCACTTTGTACATAAGGGTAAATGAAACACACTGAAATTTCTCAGCTGTGATGAAATGTATGACATGGCAGCTTTGCAAAGAATCAGAAACTTGTTCATCTCAGCTGCACTGCAGAAAAGTTGAACGCTGCCACCACATGCAGTGAAAATGCTGGAGGATTAGATACTGCAGCAATTTTCAGACCATATGTCAGCCTTCACAGGGAGAGATGTACTTGAAAATTTTGCATCAAATTTGAGCCTTTTAGAGAAAATTCAGTTCTTTTTCTGATTGCTGCTCAGGTAAGTGATATTGAGTGTGTGTGGCAACTGTTAAACAGGGTGAGTCAAAAGTCACTGGATGACTTTGAACAGCTATAACTCAGCAAGGAAAGCATTAATTTCCTAGCAGTTTTTCGCATATGAAAAAGTGTGCGTTTATTCAGGAAACAACATAGAAATTTGCATGAAATACTAATAAGATGTGCCTGCACGAAACAAAAAGCAACATTTTTCGTTATAAAAGTGACATTTAGGGTAAACAGATGCCTCATTCATGGTTATTTTCTGTTAATTTTTGGTGCTTCAAATGGTTTTCAGATATTGCCAATGATTTTTTTCTGGAGGGATGTGTTGCCATCATTAATTTATTTTCTATCTGTGAAGTAAGTCTTTCCAAAGTGAAGTGTTGTTTTGCTTTGAAAGCAGATGGATAGGTGGGGTCGGGCCTATTCAGTGGTTTTCCAGGTTGCTTGACCTGACTCCACTTGACTTCTGACTGTGGGGTTTCATTTAAAGACCAGGTATCTGCCAAAAATTTGTGCAAGATCAATGAACTGTCAAAGAAGATCATAAGAGGTTGCCTTTTGGTGACAGCTCGCATGATCAAGCTTGGTGGTGCTCAAATATCATGGCCAGTAACTAGTCATTTTTATGCCAAAATAGTAAATGACTTATTGAATAATGAAAAATAATTTTTTTTTTAAACATTGCATATGTGTTAATTAGCAGACGCTCTTTCTCATACAAAAAACCACTTGCAAATTGATGCCTTCCTTGCCAAGTTATAGATATTCAAAGTTGTTCTGTGACTTTTGACTCACCCTGTATATTGATGAGCTGTGACAATGGCCTGTAAAGCCACTTGCTCTGATAGTGAATACTGCCTGGGAAGCTATTAATGTTGGAATACAAAGGGAGTTGTAGTCCTGGCTGAATTTAATTCTTTATCATCACTGTGTAAGACCTTAATCTTGGATTGCAATCACACCTTGAAATGATGAAATTTATTGCTGGACAATCCAACCTTAGTCTGGCAAGAGAGCCTAATAGTGTTATGCAAAGGATTTAATCCTTCCACAAGGACCAAATAAATGCCAAGCATAATGATATGTCAACATCAGACTTGCCTTGTGACCTTACCTGTTTATCTTTACAAAAACAAAACCAGTAAAGTGGATAACTTCCATTAGGCATCCCATTTATGTAATATTACTTGTTTCTCTTCAGCTTGTTCCCTCTCTCTCTCCTTCCCCACTCTTTCCTCTCTTTTGTGCAGAAAGCATCAGTTGGGTGTGAAGAGTCTGGGTTGACTCCTAGTGGTCTGAAACTTCTGTGGGCCAAGGTTTGTTCATTAATTTGGGTGACACCTAAGGCCAAGTACTTGTATGGTACCTTTGAGAAGGGCCTTCCACCTCCCAAGCCAAAGCGTGTTGTCAAAAATGCTTCCAGGACAAATGATGGACCTGTGGTTATACCAGACATTGTGAGTCTCTCACCTTTTCTCTCAGTGTGGACACAATAATGTGCTCAATTTTTGTGTGGATTGTATTGTTTGAGGCAGTTTGGTCTTCCATGGGCATATTCAATGTCAACTCTATTTTGAAGGCTACTTTCAGGAGGGCCTACTTCTTATAACCCAGAATGATAACTTTTTCTTGTCGATGCTTCTGTGTCAAACATGAGTTTTTTCTTGTGAAGTGCATTTATTGCTGTCTGGGTATGTATTATGGCAAGCCCTGCAGTTGAAGAAGTGTGATCTAAGTCCACCCATGTGCAAATGATACTCCATATGCTCCTTCTCATGTAGACTTTGTATTTTACTGTCTGATCTTCGCAACAGTCATGAGCACAATTGGGAAACCTATTCATGCCAGGTTGTAGCAATGTAACAACATTGTGAAGTGCAGCATGTAGGAGAGAGTCTTAATTGTGAAAAGTTTGCATCAATGTGAAACTCTGATCACTGTGTTGTGAAAGTTTGATAAGGAAAGTAGGACATGTGTAGCACCTAGAAAGGAAACCATTCTGTGGCTGGTGAAGCAGTTTTAATCCATGTGGCTATTTTCTGTGAGGCTGCTTAACCGTTAACTGGTTTGTTTCTTGTGGGGAATTTTGACAAGCGCATATAGCTCAGAGAAAATTCCATGGTATTCTTTGCTCATGCATTTTACTTGAAAATGTTTTGGAGTGAATCAAAAGTGAAGCAGAGAATGTTTTCTTATCAAATTTAGGCAATTGCCCATGAATCTAATGGTACAGAAATAGTTTTCTTGGTCGATGTTTGAAGGGAAAAACTGTCAATCTGCTTTTATCGTCTAATGCTGGGCTCTGAAGATGGAGGAGTAGGTCTTTTGTGCATTTGTGTGTAGGGGGATCTCAGTCCTTTAATATCACATTGATAGGAAAATGATAAGGAATGGACTTGATGAATGGAAAATATATTAGAAATCCCACATGCACCATAAATAGAGACCTCCCCGGGCCCCACTTAAAGCCACTGCACCTAATTTGAGATGCTCGATCGATCTGTTGGGGGAAATTACAACCCACTTCCAAAATGATTCAGGCAGGCTGATTTTCTTTGCCAACTCTTTTTCATTTTTCATTTCACAAATAATTGGACAGGAGTATTGAAAGAACCTCAGTATGGTCAACAATTTTGATATGTGGGCTAACTGCTGACCAAAGCAAATCACTATATTACAAACAGATAAAAATTATTAGCTCTCAAAATAATGTCACATGTTCCAAAATGGTATGGGCATTGGCACTAATACTTCGTGACTTCACCTCTTGATGTGACTAGGGTGTCCAATCATACTGGAGATGAGATGGACACATTGGTCTGAAGTGATGGTGCCCAAAAATTCCTGCAAGGTTTCCTGTAATCCTTCTTTGGTTCTCAGGCATCGCTAACTGATGCCAGACTTCAAAATTATCCAGATAATCTTAATCGGCAACATATCTGGACTGCCAACTAGAAAGGGTAGCACCTCCATCTGTTGATTTTCGAACCATTGACGAGTTGTCTTGCTGGTATGACATCAGGGTGTAGTTCTTCCATCAATGGAATCATGACATTCTCCCATATTTCAATGCATTTCTTGCTGTGAACTGTCGCATTGAACAGCAGCTGGCTGACCCCTTTTTTTGCTCATGTATCCCTACGCTATCAAGCTGTCAGGGAATGAAACCTTTGGGATAAAAAACCTTTTCCTCCATAAGGGAACTCTCATGTGGTGACTCCCAAGGCAGATGATGAACCTGAAATCATCACTTCATACCACTTGATTGCAAACTGCCTTTCGAATAGCTTCTTTTTCAGGTATGACGCTAACAGTGGCTGTACTTTACCTTGTAAGATAAGCAGCCCATCCCATCAGGTAGTGGCAACAGATGTAGGCAGGAACATTTTTATTTTCTCTGACAGAGGTCTTTCGTGGGCGTCTAGATTATTCGCTCAGTGTGCACTTGCAAGTTTTTTTATAATAAATGATATCGTGTTCTGTACTTTTGCTCAAAGTCAGCTGTATGATGGTCCGTTTATGTTAGCCAAAATAAATCTCTCTGAAAGCATGTCAAGTCAAAGAGGAGACTTGCAACTCCTCTGGAATTGGGCCTGGAGTGGAATTCAGCCAATTTCCATTGGCTGAATTCCTGTTGCCACTGCCTGAAGATGGACTACTCATCTTACAAGGCAAAAGTACAGTCACTGTTAACATCAAACCTGAAAAAGAAGCTATTTGAATGTGCCAAGGAGTTCAAGAAATGCCTATTGACAGTCTAGAATCAGGTAGTATGGAGTGGTGAATCCAGGTTCATCATCTGCCTCAGGGATCACTGCATGAGAGTTTTCTTATGGAGGACAAGGCTTTTCATCCCGAAGGTTTCATTTCCCCATTTGCACCATTAGACATTCTTATCCCATCCACGCAGAATCAACAACATCTCAAATGACAAATTTCAACTAAATTTTTGGGAAACCATCTACACACATTTGATGTGACACCAGGTGACCTAGAAGTTCCTGAATTTACACAATTACAGATGAAACTCTATGGAAGGCATCTTTAGAAAATATACTCGGTGTCATGTGCAGGTCATTTCCTGAAATTTTCCTGAAAAAGGACTAATTGCTGAAATGTTTGCAGTATCGCATACTCCACCCCATGAACATTTCCTTTCGTTATCATCAATGGTTTTCCCTCTGTAGGCTTCTGAATTTGGGAACTTTTTGGGCCACCTGGTATTTAGGATCCCAACTCACTATTTTCAATGGATTAGGAATGAGGAGGCATAAAGAGCAGAAGCGACTTGTTCTAATTTGCCTGTGACAATTTATGACCCATTCTGTGTACACCTTACCCCGCATGGAATGGAACTCATTCCTATGTGAACTTGCATTCACCTTTATCACTTCAAAAACCAGATATGATGCGTAATATGCGATTAAGAGTCATGAAATAACTGTATCAATCCCCAAGCTGAATAAATGCTTTAGGGAAGACCAATGCTAAGATAATGCCAGCCTCCAATGACAAGAAAGGATTTTCATAACCTCTATGACTCGTGACTGAAGACACAGCAGTGGAGGGCTCTATCTGGAAGAGCCAATCTTGTAGAGCAGTAGTTCTCAACTTCTCTTTTACTCCCATAGAACATCCATGCGTTTAGTGTGCCATGGCACACTGGTTGAGAACCACTAATGTAGAGGGATTCTGTGCAGGAAGTGCAGCTAAAATTTTTCAAAAGTTCCTCTATTTTCTACAGGTCATTCTTTTACTTCCTTGTGCACACAGATAAAATTTCAAAATCATGTAATTGTACTTTCCAGCTCTGCATGTATTGAATATAAAGCCCATTCTATATGCCATCCAGGAGAAATCAGCCATTACGTCATCCGACATTTTGTCTGATTTCTCAATGGTTAACTGGTTAAGGGTTAAAGGGTAGATTGTCTCAACATCGCCCACACATAACTATGGAGTTAGGGGGACCCATGGGGAGATTTTCAACATTTTCAAGGATGCAGTGTAGATAGTCCTGCACAATTGCACCCTGTGCTAACCTCTTGTTAATGAAATGGGAGGTGACCATATTGAACTTGTTCTTCATTCATCAAATTTCCCATATGTGCCTGTGACTTTTGCCAAGTTTCCTGCTCCTAGTTTCAGCAATATACCAGTTGTGCCATTTTGAAATGGTATAATGCTTAAAAAAAATTACACTGTATATATATGGATTGATAATGCTAGTAGAGGAATCTTCCTTCAAGACATGAAATGATGTGCACCAAATCCTTTTAACTTTAAACTGATCTGATTTCATAATGGTTGTCTATGGGAATAAGATTATCTCCACCATACTGATTTCCATTGGGGACCATCATAAAATTAAATTAAAGTTTATCTGTTCTAGTGCATGTTACCCATCATCTGCTACATAGCATGCATTGACAAAATTGACTCCTGGTCATAGGTATGACTCCTATAAGAGGTTTATGCTTATACAATAGTAATTGAGAGTCAGTAAGTTTTATTTGTGTTAGAAGTCATTCTATCTCATTCCATCTCTCTCTTTTTTTTCTGCACTGGCACTTTTGGTTTCAAAGATATAAGGTCTCAAAAGTTTTTACCTCTGTGGGATGTCATGAGGCCCTTTTAGTGAAAAGAACTTGATATCTCAGGAACTGTTTTATATTAATGAATGTTTTTTCTGAATTTATCTTTCCTAATAGTTTCCTTTCATCTCTGCTCAAGATGGCATTGGTAGACTAGAATTCCTTCTACCATCACTCATGCTGTAACAAGCACATTCTGCACAAGTGCAGTGTTAGCATTAAGAGCTTCAATTGCTGATGCCATATGGTTGAGAGGTTGAACTGTCTCAGGACTTCACCTGGAACTTGAAACTAGAATAGATTCTTGGAAATTGAAGTAAAGATTGAAATATGAGCTGTTTCAAGTTTCAGGTGAAGTTTTCAGGTCTCCTGCTCATCTCATTTCATACTAGGTGATTGGTTGCTGGAAGAAATATTGTCCTCAACAAGCCAAAGAGGTCTTAGTGTGACTTTTGGTAGAAGGAACCATATCATCTACCATGCTGTGGGGAGATAAAAGACATGATAAACAAGAAGAGTAAAATTTTGAAATCTCCAAAATTTCTTGTTCTGTATCACTCTCCAGACTCTATGACAGGCCTATATCAGAGAAATCACTAACTACAACATGGGTCTGTTTTCATGTGGCAAAAACTCTGGAACCTCATGACAACAGTCTTGAAAAACCATAATAACTTTAATAAACAGCTGATAACAAAAAAAACCAATTATATCAACTTGAAGAAGAATTTCAAAGCAGGAGAATTTCAGCACATTCTACAGGTATATGATGTTCATTTAAAAAAAATATTTCCTTAATTCAGCATAATAGCAAAAATCAGGGGCAACCGTGGAAAGTAATATAGCATTGGAAAGGCATTGAATTCTCTGTATGTGTGCAAAATGTAACTTACAGGCACACAGATAGCTGACAATAGTGATCACAAACAAAGCTGCAAAAAAAATGCTGTGCACAAGCCATGTTCCACATGCATGTGGCCTATCAGGCAGTTTGGATTCACTTGTGCTGAAGGGAATTGAAAGTTACGTCTTCAATTTGTTTGATGTGCTCTGTGAAGTGAACTCATCACAATGTGCATGCACTATTTGTGCAATGTTGAAACAATGTGTTTCAGTAGCTTATCAATGCAAACTTGAAGGAATTGCAGCTGTGACTGCCCAGTTGTATGTGTGCATATGGCAGGCTATTTTGATGTCATTTTTAAACAATTGCCAAAAGGGAGTTTTTTTTTTAATGAGATCTGGATGAAATTTTTATGGTCATTCCAGACACTTCATAAGTGATAATTAAGGGAAGGAAAAACTTCATCTCTCCACACAGGTGAGTGTCATTCAAAGAGAGATTTATAATCACTTTTGATGCTGGCTTCATATCAATCACTCTATATTAAAGTGCAAGTTTTCTTTAAATTAGTTCATCAATCAAGTAATATGAATTAAATCGACATCCTTGGTTACTCCATAGTCTGATTACTTTCCATTCAGAGCCTCAAATGGCAGATTGCCTTTGCTAGTTGAAAAATGATTCAAAATTAATTCTGAGCCATATTTCAGGAAAACTGTGAGAATGGGCATGTAATTAGGGATAGTGTTGAAGATATTACTAATTTGCTATCCAACGTGCAGTATACATTTTTTTATTATGCACCAAAGTACATTGTACAGCATTGTACTGATCATATGATCAGCACAATACTTAGTGCTTAAAGCACTCACAGTGCTCAGGTAATAAAAATTAAGAAATGTTGCAGGATGCTTCAAGTACAGTATTTTCATATGACTTTCATGTTTTTCTTACCTGTTTTCAATTTCAGTCAAAGCATCTTGAGAAACAGGAGGATACTGGTACTGTGGCTCAAGTCAACAATGTTCATCGTTGTATCATGAGGGAATATAAGGAGAATGGGTGTCAGCCAATCCTCTACTGGAAAATCATATTGAACCCGGAGTCCTTCACGAAGTCCATTGAGAATATGAGTCATCTGGCTTTCCTCACTCAGGACAAATCACTCAGAATGAGCCTTGGTATGGAAAAGGGCAAGAAAAAACACTTAATGGCCTGATGAAGGAGTATTTCATGAAAAAGATAACCAAGTGCAAATGTTATTGTTTTTTTTACTTTTCATTTTCCCAGCACCAATATTGAATTTGATGTCATTAGAAAGGGCATAGCATGCACTTTTGAATGAAATATTGGAACAAAAAATTCCTGAGCTGGCAAGTGTAGATATTGGCCTCTGAATTGATCAAACTATTTGATCGAGTGGAACTTCTTGTCTCAGCTTTGGAGAATAGTGCCTGGATTCAATTTAAAGATGGCAATATCACAATTAAAGTGACACCAGAATGAAGTTTATATCTTAACTATAGGGGAAGTTATTGCAGAAACAGTTTCACAATTCCAGTCCATATGGGTGCTAGGAGCCGTAAGTAGGTCACATTCAAATGCATATATCTGAAGATTTGTGGAAGAAATAAAAAAATTGATTGTAATTAATATATTTAAATCTATTCCTCTATGTGCATGCCAATTATCGTCAAAATCTGAATGGTCAAGCTCACACTCTGGTTGATTTGGCATGGAATGACCCTATTCACAAATTGCTATCTCTCAAGTTCTTACATGTGGGACATTGGTGACTCAGAATAGAAATCCAGCAAGTCAAAAAAGGGGATTTCCCATAGAGCTCCACTTCATTTTTGAAGCTGCACATATGTAGAAATAGCTAGGAAATTCTTAATGAAAAGTGGGGGGAAAACTTTGGGAAGGATGAAAATAGCATGAGACATAGGGGCCAACAGGTTCATTGGTTAGTTTAGGATGATGGTTTTTTCCTTATGCCAGTGTTACTGACCTTGTATGAAAACAACTAAAAGTGATGTACCTAAAGTGAAGGTAAATTAGATGGATTCACCCTAAACAACAGTATCAAAATTATAGTGCTGATGTCAGACAACAGTCCATTAATATTAGCCAGTTTCTTATTGGAAACTATGAAGTGGGTTGGTTAATTTCTGATTGGGAACCTTTGCTAAGCCTAATTGATTTTCAATTATCATTCATCTAATGCACTTGTTTTATTCTGAATTTCAAATGCTCATTTTCCACAACTATGTTGCTAACCCTGGTTGATTATTTTTTCCCCTCAGAGAGAGAAGAGATCTTCATTGAGCCTGTGCTAAAGGGTGCATCTCAGCCATCATGGACTAGTATGCAAAGTTGTCTGCCTTTCAACTATAAAATCTGGCAGGTTAGTGAACCTTCAACAAACCAGGTAGCCAGCTACTATTCTCCCAACCTGAAAAATAGTAGCTGACCCCCTTTGAGGCCCCCTTCAAAAAATGTGCTTCAAGGGATAGCAGTTGAGTGCCAGCCATATCCCAAGTAGCACACCCTCTGTGAACCAACATTGATTCAACGTTTGTCAACTCAGCCTGCATCTTGTCCATATCTATCTGCTTGCCAATTCTTGCAGTGATTAGGCCAATATTTTCGTTATTATCGTTTGATAGCCGAAGGGTGGACACATGCACACAGAGACGGACAGGACGAAACAATAAATGGTCTCTTTCAGGAAAGGGGACCCACTAAAAATGCAACTCTTATTCTAATCCTTATCTGGGCAAGGTATTTTTGTTACAAAAACAAGGGTCCATTGGAACCCCTTACTCATTTTTCCAATTTTTTTTTTTTTAAGCAAAGCAAAACGTTAAAAATTCATTTTTAAATCTATTTTTTTTTTCTATAGATCCAAACCATAAATGAAAGACACATCATATGTGGAAGTTTTTGAAAAAAAAATTATCTGGAGAACAAGGGTCCTGATCTGGATAAGGGTTAAGACTCAGCTGTTAAATTCAAGTGAAATTAGATCATAGGCCTAACATGTCATCAGAAGCACATCTTAAAACATTAATACAGAAGATAAAATGTGTTCTTACTAACAGCAGCTGCCTCTCCTCCTACTCAAATGGCAGCTGGGTACTGTTGCAGCAGTTTTCCAAATGGGGATGGCCATTTTCATCCAGATGAAACAAAAAATGTGAGATATACCATATAATTTTATATATGCTGCAAAAGAGTTGTTTCATGTGTACCTAAAAGCTTACTCAAATCAAGGCACTGCAGCCGGATTTACAGCACGTTGAAGTCAATAGCTTGGTTTTTTTTGAGCCACCCTATATTTTCAAGGGTTTTCACGAAACGCAGGGCTTGCGTGTGGGATTGGGATGAGCTCGATTGAAAACGCAAGCCTCGCGTTTTGTGAAGTTGGGGGACATGCGTGTGGACATGCATTTGCACACGCACGTCTACCTACCTACCCAAGCAATGACGCAAAGGACCCATGACACGCAAAGTGTGAAACAACCTTTAGTGTTGGTGTGAACGTTTGTGTTAGTGTTAGAGTTAGTGTTCGGTGTTAGTGTTAACACCGAAGCTGGTGTTGGGAGAAGCCTCTCGACACTAACACCGGGAGATAACAACAACACCTGATTTGAACTCATCCAATGTGTCATGTGCTACCTGGGTATGAGGGATATCAGTCTCATTTCTCAACAAGAGCTTCTCTCACCAGCTTGACAAGCGTTTAGATTTACATTCTATATTGCTTCCTTACCTTAAAGCATGGAAGAACACGTCTTTATCTCTTTTCCTTTTTTTCCCACAGCATTTGGTGCAGAAGTACAAAATCAAGAAGGCCATGATTACAACTGAGTGATGTGATAGATTGCTATCTGATAGCATGAAATCCAAGTTCCAATTAATGTGAGACACTTTGGTAGAATATCCAAGGATGTATTTTGAAAAGGGATAAGTTCTTGGAGATGTTCCCTTCGTGCCATTGAGAGTGATTCTTTAAATCATATTAGCATCAGTTCCAATTGAGGCAATTTTTTTCTATTTTTGTTGTTAACGCAAATCTTTTATTCATGTAATATTCCCCAATTTTTTCTTTCTTCCTGTTTGCGTCTCAAATAAACTTTGCTCGTTTGCCTGTATCCATTAGGATTTCCCATAGTCTGCCTTATTTTTAATCATTCCATTTATGGAAAAAAATTGAAAGGATATAGGGTCATTCCATGTCAAATCAACACCTCACCCTCTGATTTCCACGATAGTTGCTTAGCTTGTAGGAGCTATTAAAAAACCATACCATGCCAAATTGCAGTTCTCTACCTCATGTACACTTCACGGACTGATGAAGTTTTGAGCAGGATAGGAGGTAGAATCCCTCAAGAAAATTTTCACTAAGAATTTTTGTACACCTTAATCAATACCGAATTCTAAACGCAATTTTTAAATATTTATTTAAGCAAATGAGTTTGACGGATGAGCATTGCTATGAAGCCATGAACCCCGGCTGCACAACACATTGGGCCCACGTTGGCTGCGAGTGGGAAAAAGTGGGTCAACATCGCAGTCGGCTTGTCGATGCCTAACTCCACATTGGAGTTAGGGCGGCAGCCAACATTTCTCATGTCTCAGGATGCGACATCTATCTCAGTAATTTGAACAAAAAGCTTCCAACAGCTGATACGAAATGGTACCTATGTAGCCGCTATTTCAGTGGGATCAGGGAGTTACTCATTAATTTAAGACCCCAGTACCTTTCATGTGGTAATTAATATTTTCCCCTAGAGAACGTTAGGGAAGACACTCGTATTTCTCAATTCATTTGTTTAACAGGTTGACCGCCATGGGGCACACTGGTGCGCCTCACTAAGTCCCCTTTCCTGTGCCATGGGGCGAACCGGTGTGCCCCGTGTTTCGCTTTCTCCTAAGGATGTAAACATTTATTTTGACCCAGGAAAGTCACCAGGCCAATATGGCCGTGGCGGTCAACGTGTTAAATAGGTTAAGCAGTCAAAGGAGATTATTATAAGGAGTGGAGGAGGCATGGTTCAAATTGGGGCTTCACTGGATAGGGTGAGAATGAAGGATATCGCTTTCTTTCCGTTTGTGTAGGTAACTTCTGTGCTCCCAGTCAAGGGGGGTTCGGGTGTGATAAAAGAAATGATCATCGAGTCTTGCCAGACGAGCACTTCCATAACGGGTGAGGAGCCTAAGGAGTGATGAGTGAAATCACAATGTGGTTCAAATCCTGCACGGAAGTGAAGACCTCAGAAGATGACAATCGAAGGTAGTACTACTCCCTGAAGTACTTAGAGCCAGACCGAGAGAGACTCGGTGGGAAGGTCCCCGGTAGGGGAGCTGACCAATTACTTACACATATACAGGGTGGGCCACTTAAAAGTAGCCCGCCTCCTATAATACTGCGACAGACAGACAGTCGGTAAGAACAGTGTGCAAGGGGCGACCCCGAGCGTGGCGGAGGTGGTCCCCCAGTAGACGTTACGTAGTGACGTCGTCAATAAAAATCCCTTCCGCATCGTGGTCTGCTTGGACATAGATAAACGAAAAGCCTTTGCAATTGATAACAGTTGGATGGGAATTCTATTCGGATACGACAGTCGTCAAAGACACCGATCATTCCTGGAAATTCGGGAATATCAAATAATTTCCTTTGAACAGCTACTCGTTTTTCCTCCTGGGAATCTAATGAATGACGCATATCAGCAATGGCCTGCGTCATTCCACATCCAGGAATCGATGGCACATAAAATCAAAGGGGTAGCAGAACATACAAATCGAAAGGCTTTCATGACACTCTCGTTACTTTCGAGTAATATTAATAAATAATGATTCATTGCAAACGAACCGTGATTGTTCTTATCTGATGTAAGTTTAAGGGCTCCCTTCCGCTAGTTTCGTTCCTGTCCAGTACTGAACTCGAAACAGGTCGACATCATTCACTGATCCCTTTCCAAATTGGTATCTCGCGAAGGTTCTCCTAAACATATTCTTCAAAGGGATTAAGCCTAGAACCGGTTTATTTGTCCCATGCGACGACGAGAGCATATAGTTAATATCGAGCGCTCCTTGAAGATAATCCATTGTGGTTCACCAGTACACTACAACGCTAAACAGACATCAGAGTCTGATGCGCTTCGTTTCAGAAAAATGGCTTCGAAAGAAATTCGTCCGAGTCAGCTTAATAGA